TGTGTGTGTGTGTATGTGCTGAGCAGCACTCAAAAACACGTTACAACCAAAAACCCGTTACAAAGGATAAAGTCTTTTAAAGTAGTTCTGCCCGTAGAACCGCTAAATATGCAGTCCCCGCAGAAGATGAAAAGTATGTTAGGGTCTTCAGCACGTTTATCCCCAGGTGCTGCAAAAGCATTAGTAAAATCCATTGGAAATAATGTCAGCTGTAAATTTAGAAAACCAGACAGCTGATCCGCGTACTATAGTAAATAAGTTTAAATCATGCCTGAAGTTGGTGAGCAATATTTTGTTGACGAATACGACCAGTATTGAACTCAGGGCATATGCTACTGCGGAGCCAAACCGTAACAACAGTGGTGAGCTATTCATCCCAGCGTACTACAGTGAAAATTCGACTTCTTCAGACAATTTCCAGCTCATCTGAAAAGGTGCTTGCTGATTTCGGGATTACATTCTACAGCCATGAGTACAATTCTGTGAATTTCGAGTCACTACTGTAACAGCCTTTCGGTTTCTTCTTTTTTTCACCGATGCTCACACTTGTTGCGTTTTAGTTGCAGCGCATCTTCTACGCTGACAAAGCCACTAACTTCCACACAACTGCAATGAAGCAAGCTAAAAAGCCTTTGCGGTCAGCATAAGATCCTGGTGTTCATCTCTCTTCTCCTTGTTGCTTTGGTCAAAAATTCATTGTTTTCACCCGATCAGCAGTACATACAAGACTAGTTTCGTGCACCTGAACTGTCTGTCAGGATTAAGTAGTTCGTAGCAATCAGATATTTACAATGAACATCCTTAAATTGCGCTTTGGTTAGGAGAATCGTTGAATCGGTAATCCTTTCAGAAGATGAAATGCATGTCAAAATCGATAGCCACCAAGCGATGCAACATCAATGAAAACAAATAGATAAGTTGCTAGTTGGATGTGCGGATAACCAAACTATGAATTAACAGCTAATTTCGGAGGGAGTATCCAAGTTTTTTTCGCCAATTCGTGATATATCCCACATTTGTCGTCATGCTGGCAGATCAAAAAAATTGAGCTTTGTCCTTATTTGTAGGCTTAAATTAAGCTTTGTCCTTATTTGTTGAACTGTTCAAAGAATTCTTGTTACTTGCATGATATGACTGAAAAAAACGGCACTTGCTCCACAGTGCGACATTGGAGATATTTCGCTATTCATTCACGCCTCTAACTGAACACT